AAATGTTGGGGACTCGCTCGATTTATTCGGCCAAAGTGTAACCATGGACTTCAGTGGTCACTATTGTGCAGATGGCAACATAACGTATTTGTGTGCAGTGCTGTCAAAATCTGCATCTGCTATCCCTGATTTTGAAATCTTAGTACAGAATAACATAGTTTGTCAAACAGCACCCTGTACAGGTATGTAAGGCATTGGATGTAGATGAACAGTTGGAAAATTGTACATTTCTGAGGTGTCGTACCAAAAACGGTTGTTTGACACGTCAATCTGAAAATAATCTTTAAGTTATGTTTAGACAAAATTAGGTTTAGGGGGTTTTTTAAATGTTTTTGAAGCATACTTTATGAAGCTATTTATCATAATTAAAAAACACAGGGTTGTTTGTGTATTAAATGAGATGATTATTTCATAAATTTGATTCAAATATCTAAATAATTATTTAGTTTCAGTCATAATTTTCTCAACCTGGAAAATTAAATCAAGGAGTAAAATAGAACAAATTTTGTACCAGCAAACACATTTTGTGATGATTATATTTATCACGTGTGTTGGTTTTAGTAGAGATTTTCACTTATTGTAAATACCTTTTTAAATTGTATACTCTAAATACAGTCTACCTTCCAATTCGACACTCCTCTAATTCCGAGACCCTTTATTTGAGAACAATTTTTCAAAGGACCAACTAACCAACATCTTTTAAAATTGAGCTCACTCTCAAGTGTTAGACCCCTCTAATAATGGTAATGATGTTGAACATGATGATCATAATAGGATAGAATAAATACATCTGTTTTTAAATTATAATTATTATTATTATTGTTATTGTTATTATTATTATTATTATTATTATTATTATTATTATTATTATTATTATTATTATTATTATTATTGCATTATTATGCTAATGGTAAAAATGTTAATGATGATAAATATTCTAATGTGCTCTATATTCTTACTCAGGTGTTGTCATTGATGGTGATACTGGAATTTTAGATAGTGACAAAAAGATCAAGGAGCATTCACCAACTAATGTTACATTTGGTTTTGAGATCGAATCCAGTGCCTCAAGTGCAGTTCTGAGTGGAAAAGACCTGTGGCAATTCAATGTGTTTGTCAGTGCAAATCAGGATGGCTCAGGAGAGCACTATGGAGAAACTTTCGCTTCTCTATCAGACGAACAGGAGAGCACCGCGATATCTACAGCTGGCTCAACATTGGAGTTCACAGGTATTGCGGCATCATTGGACTTGGCTGATCTGAAGTGTTTTGATGATCCTAATACCTTTTACTACCTTTGTGTTGAGTTCATGCGGGATCCTGCAAGTACCCCAACATTTAGTATGACAACAGTTTCTGGAAATCCTCTGACACCCTACTGTGCCGTTGCAAATTGCCGTGGTAAGCTGATTAATGAATATGTTTTATTAACCAAACTTACATGAACTGTTTCATAAATTTAAATTAACAGACTCGATGTTAGTTCGAGCTAGGGTTTTTGTTTTCTGTTTTGTGTAACATCAGCGCATAGAGACCATGTATTCGCTACAAAAATCCCCAAGCATTACCATTGCCATCATCATCAACACATAATTATCGTTATCATTATATTCATAATCATCACTATTTACATCCTTTATCACTATGTATTATTTTCTCCATTGTCAAAATCTTAATTCACGTGCCCATTAACATAAAATTTTACCATCATTATCACCAAAATTATTGTATTTCTCATTTCACTATCTTCATTAACACCTATGTTTATCATCATCAGAATCAAAATCGTCTACAGTAATCATTTCTTTGCAATTTAAATAAAAACCATCTTTGCTATCATCGTTGTTGTCGCCATCATCATCTTGGTCATCATCATCATCAACACTATCATCATCATCATCAGCAGCATTAACATCAACATCAATATCATCATCATTATCAACATAATGTTAAAGAACAATTGTCATTATATCATCATTTATCATCACTGATGTTGTTATCGCATCAACTCTGCTTTAATTTATAGGTGTTAAGATCACAGGTACATCTGTCTCTACCTCAAGTGGTGATCCAGTTGTTGAAAGAAGTAATAATACAATTACATTTTCAATGACCGTCTCATTTGACGCGGATTGGGCCGGTATATCTGGTGATAATCTTTGGATGCTTACTGCAGATCTGAAGGACAGGGTAACGTTAGTTGATATATTAATTTAATAATTTATTTATTTGTCCTTAAACAACAGTGCAACAGTGTTCAGTTTCATTTTATATAAAGCCTATATTTAAGAAAATGGCATTTATATCCTCAAAACATCTAAACCCCTCAAAGCATGTAACCCCTTGGCACCCCAATCTTGTTTAACATTGAGAGGGATTGAACCTAAATTCATGAGATTGGAAGGTCAGCATCCTAAGCACAGCTATTCAACTACAGTCTAATGGTAGCTCAAGAAATTTGCTTACAGAGGGTCACTCTAAGATGTCCGACAGAAGATTCAAACAAAGTGGCTGACTATATTGCCTCCCGGAATAAAAGATCTCTGGTAGGGTTCACAGGGGGAGTAAGACTTAAATATGCTTTTGCACACGATATTCATTCAAACAACAGTGCAACAGTGTTTAGTTTCATTTTATGCAAAGCCTATATCTAATAAAATGGCTGTAACGTCCTAAAAAAATCAAACCCCCTTGGTGCCCGCAGTCTTGTTTAACAGTGAGAGGGATTGAACCTGAAATCATGAGATTAGAAAGTGAGCATCCGACAGAAGATTTAAACCAAGTGGCTGACTATATTGCCTCCCGGAACGTTCATTTCAACGCAACGCAACTCAACGCAAACGCAACGCAACGACAACGGGTAAAACGCGTTGGGATTTTTGCAATAAAACTGTCCGGTACTGTAATTTTCTCAACCTGGAAAATTCAATCAAGGAGTAAAATAGAACAAATTTTGTACCAGCAAACACATTTTGTGATGATTATATTTATCACGTGTGTTGGTTTTAGTAGAGATTTTCATTTATTGTAAATACTTTTTAAATTTTATACTCTAAATACAGCCTACCTTCCAATTCGAGACTCCTCTAATTCCGAGACCCTTTATTTGAGAACAATTTTTCAAAGGACCAACTAACCAACATCTTTTAAAATTGAGCTTACTCTCTAAGTGTGAGACCCCTCTAATAATGGTAATGATGTTGAACATGATGATCATAATAGGATAGAATAAATACATCTGTTTTTAAATTATTATTATTATTATTATTATTTTTATTTTTATTATTATTATTATTATTATTTTTATTATTATTGCATTATTATGCTAATGGTAAAAATGTTAATGATGATAAATATTCTAATGTGCTCTATATTCTTACTCAGGTGTTGTCATTGATGGTGATACTGGAATTTTAGATAGTGACAAAAAGATCAAGGAGCATTCACCAACTAATGTTACACTTGGTTTTGAGATCGAATCCAGTGCCTCAAGTGCAGTTCTGAGCGGAACACACCTGTGGCAATTCAATGTGTTTGTCAGTGCAAATCAGGATGGCTCAGGAGAGCACTATGGAGAAACTTTCGCTTCTCTATCAGACGAACAAAAGAGCACCGCGCGCGATATCTACAGCTGGCTCAACATTGGAGTTCACAGGTATTGCGGCATCATTGGATTTGGCTGATCTGAAGTGTTTTGATGATCCTAATACTTTTACTACCTTTGTGTTGAGTTCATGCGGGATCCTGCAAGTACCCCAACATTTAGTATGACAACAGTTTCTGGAAATCCTCTGACACCCTACTGTGCCGTTGCAAATTGCCGTGGTAAGCTGATTAATGAATATATTTTATTAACCAAACTTACATGAACTGTTTCATAAATTTAAATTAACAGACTCGATGTCAGTTCGAGCTAGGGTTTTTGTTTTCTGTTTTGTGTAACATCAGCGCATAGAGACCATGTATTCGCTACACAAATCCCCAAGCATTACCATTGCCATCATCATCAACACATAATTATCGTTATCATTATATTCGTAATCATTATTTACATCCTTTATCACTATGTATTATTTTCTCCATTGTCAAAATCTTAATTCACTTGCCCATTAACATAAAATTTTACAATCATTATCACTAAAATTATTGTATTTCTCATTTCACTATCTTCATTAATACCTATGTTTATCATCATCAGAATCAAAATCGTCTACAGTAATCATTTCTTTGCAATTTAAATAAAACCATCTTTGCTATCATCGTTGTTGTCGCCATCATCATCTTGGTCATCATCATCATCAACACTATCATCATCATCAGCATTAACATCAACATCAGTATCATCATCATTATCAACATAATGTTAAAGAACAATTGTCATTATATCATCATTTATCATCACTGATGTTGTTATCGCATCAACTCTGCTTTAATTTATAGGTGTTAAGATCACAGGTACATCTGTCTCTACCTCAAGTGGTGATCCAGTTGTTGAAAGAAGTAATAATACAATTACATTTTCAATTACCGTCTCATCTGACGCGGGTTGGGCCGGTATATCTGGTGATTATCTTTGGATGCTTACTGCAGATCTGAAGGACAGGGTAACGTTAGTTGATATATTAATTTATTAATTTATTTATTTGTCCTTAAACAACAGTGCAACAGTGTTCAGTTTCATTTTATATAAAGCCTATATTTAAGAAAATGGCCTTAATATCCTCAAAACATCTAAACCCCTCAAAGCATGTAACCCCTTGGCACCCCAATCTTGTTTAACATTGAGAGGGATTGAACCTAAATTCATGGGATTGGAAGGTCAGCATCCTAAGCACAGCTATTCAACTACAGTCTAATGGTAGCTCAAGAAATTTGCTTACAGAGGGTCACTCTAAGATGTCCGACAGAAGATTCAAACCAAGTGGCTGACTATATTGCTTCCCGGAATAAAAGATCTCTGGTAGGGTTCACAGGGGGAGTATGACTTAAATATGTGTAATGTCCACAAAATGAAAGAAACTTTGGACAGATTTTAATGACAATTCTAAGCTCTCTTTATTTCTGTTCTTTCTCCTCGAACCTCGCTTACGCCCTCAATCTTTACATTCGTTCCCGTTACCACAATCTCCCCCCTGTAACAAATTACATTCTTTAATATACCTACTAGGGTTTCTCACTACCCTACCTGACCTAGTTCTATATGGAACCTGGTCTACATCCCTTGGTACGAATCTGTCTGTATTGACATTTTCTGGTTGTGCATTCCCGAAATCATCAATCATCAAAGGCACTGCATTGCCTAACGGGTTTACCCATTCCCTACAGTCAGGGCATACAATAGCTAACCTTTCAACATTATATGTCTTTCTGTTACTTAACAGAAAGGCTGCAATCCCCACTTTCTTAACTACACGAAATGGTCCCATAAATGAACTACTGCCCTTATGCACATATCCAATTTTTTTAACCTTTACATTCATTCCTTCCTGTATAATAGGTTTTTTAACACTGTTACGATTGCCAAAATATGTCTTTTGTTTCTTCTGATTAACTTTTACTAGCTCTTTAAGCTTAGATTTATCAACCACCACATCTGCTGGTGGTGTCAACCCTTTAATATCTAACTTGTTTCTCAATTTACGTCCATGCAACAACAATGCAGGTTCCACCTCTGTTGTTGAGTGTGGAGTGTTTCTATATGCAAATAAAAATGACTGCACATATTGTTTCTCTTATACACATCTAGATGTGTATAAGAGACAGGCTATATATAGTGTACAGTTCATTAAAATTCACAAAAATAATAAAACTGTAGCACTAGAGTTTCATCCAAGATGTTTGTCAAAAAGGTAAACATCCTGAATTGTTCCTCAGATCATTAGCTATGATTGTCTCATTTATTTTTCCAACTGGCTATAAATTTGTAGACATTGGTTCTTTGTGCTTTTTGTCTAACCTCAAATCAAGTATTATGACTACTGCAGAGTATCAAGTGTTTACTTCCTGAATTGTGATTAAAAACCACCAATAGATAGCTAGGCTTCAATAAAAATAAAAAATGATGAAAAGATAGTTAAACAAGTGTGTAATTGTGCAAAGAGTTTGTTTATTAAGAGTTGCAATTAGACTTAACAGAGTGGAAGGAATTTCTTAGGCTTTATTTCCACTCTTGGTTAGTCCTGAATGCTAGGCACCAAACTTGTCAGACATTCTTTATAGATATCTTTGAACCGAATTAATCGTTTCCTCTCTCCTCAATGGATAGCATTTCCCTGGTTATTGTACCTTTTGTTGGCTGTTGTAATGTAGATGTGTATAAGAGACAGTTGTTTAACTTCTTTCCCTTCTAAGAATGCAGTTTGTATCGTCTGTTTTAGCACTTTGTTAAACCTTTCTACGGCACCATTACTCTGTGGGTGATAAATAGCAGAATGCAAATGCCTAATATCTCTTTGTTTTAGAAATTGTTTCATTTCATAACTCACAAATTGAACTCCATGATCAGTGATTAATTCTAATGGGTAACCCTCCCGCACAAACACGCCTGACAAAAAATCCATTACAACTTGTGTGGTCACCTTTGGTACAAAACACACTTCCGGCCACTTAGAATAGTAATCAATAAGAGTAATGGCAAATCTGCACTGGTTTGGTAGCAAGTCACAGGGACCAACTATATCTAGTCCTAACTTTTCCCATGGACCTGACGGATACTCTATGGGTGTCATAGAGGCTTTTGAAACCCTTACCGTCTTATTATGTTCTATACACACCTTGCAATGTTTAATTATATTTTCTACTTGTATGTCCATTCTCGGCCACCAATATAATTGCCTTAATCTTTTCTTCGTTCTCATTATCCTTTGGTGAGCCTCATGTGCTTTATAAATTAAATGGACTGTTAGGCAGTCTGGTACCACCAACCTATCGCCTCTATAAACTCTATTTTCTAACACTATTAATTCCTCCCTTACATTGTAATATGGCAGTATGTTACTATTCAACTTATCCTTACTTGCAGGCCACGCTGACTCTATGTATTTGATAACTTCCTGCAAAAGTTGATCTTTATCTACCTCGGCATTAAATTGGGTTAGGGTTATGCAACACTCCTCCTCTACCTCCACTAAACAGACAGCGGCAACTTCGTTGTCTTCGGAGGACCCTGTTTCCGATTCCAGTGGCAGATGAGATAATGTTGTGGCCATCCGCCACAACATTATCAGAACCTGGCTTATATTCAACGGTGTAATTATAATTTAGCAGCCTAGCTATTCGCATTGGTCTGTGGCCAGTCCCACTTGATGCTAAGAGTGTTGTCAAGGCTTTATGATCAGTTCGCAACATGAAATGCCTACCCCATGAGTATGTATGGAATTTCTCAATTGAGTACACACATGCCAAAGCTTCACGTTCACCTGTGGAATATTTCATTTTTGCACATGTTAACTTCCTTGACGCGAAAGCTATGGTTACCTCTTCCCCTTCAACTAACTGGGTGAGAACCGCCCCTATTCCGTACCCTGATCCATCAGTTGTCAGAATTATTTCCCTGTCTGGGTCAAATAATGCGAGGGCTGGACATGTAACGATGCTTTGCTTCACCGATTCAAATGACATATTTGCCTGTTTACCCCACTTAAATTTATCACTTAACTGAACATCCCTTAATGGCTGTACAAGAGTTGCATAATTTTTGATAAATTTGGAATAGTACCCTGCTAACCCCAAAAAGGATTTCACCTGTTCTTTACTTTCTGGGACTGGGGCGCATGTTATTGATTTTACTAAGTCTGAATTTGGGTGAAGCCCCTCTGCATCTAATACATGACCCAAAATTTTAACACTAGTCACTCCAAATTCACACTTGTCATTTAGGCGCATTCCATAATCTGGAAGCCTATTTAGCACTGCCTTCAGAACTGTATCATGGTCTGATTTGGTCCTGCCAAAAACAAAAATATCATCAATAAAGTAACCAATATTAGGAATTCCCTGCAATATTATTGACATTAATTTTTGAAATGCAGTAGGGGCGGAAGCCAAACCAAAGCACACCTTCCTAAACCTGTACAACCCATTGTGGGATACAAATGTCGTAAGGTCTCTACTATCTTCGTGTAAATTTAACTGATGATATGCGGACTTCAAATCTAATTTGCTAAACAGTTTAGCACCTGACATCGCATCAAATAATTCCTCAATTTTTGGCAAAGGGTGCCTCTCAATTATTATGGATTCATTTACTTTTCTCAAATCGACACAAAGACGTAACCCGGCATTTCTTTTCCAGACCACTACTAATGGGGACACCCAATTAGTCGCACCTTTCACCCTTTCAATGACCCCTTCTTTCTCCAACCTATTCAAATCCACAGTAACTTTATCTCGAATTGCCAAAGGCAGTCTTCTCAATGACTGCTGCACAGGGGTGACCTGAGGGTTAACTTTAACCGTATGGACAAAACCTTTAATGTGTCCGAGATCAGAACCAAAGAGATAAGGAAACTCAGCCTTTACCCAATCCATTTTGGTATCCTTACCCTCACACTTATCCACTCCCATTGACAAACATGACATAGTCGACCTATCAATCGTTAACCCCAGCATTTGAATCAAATCTTCGCCCAAAATAGAACACCCCTGATCTACTACTAAAAACTTTACTGTAGCTGATTTTGACTTGTACTTAACTAATGTGTTAAATTCCCCAGCAATGTTAATCTTTTGCCCTGTATATGTTAACAAATTAACTCTACTTGGGCACAGAGCTTCTTTTACAAAATGTCTCTGAAACAGTTTCATGCTTAACAGGGACACATCTGATGCTGTGTCAACAACAAAAGGTAGATTCACATTATTGACACGAACAGTCACTGAAATATTTGCCTTCCTACTGCACTCACCATCAACTTCCTCCGCAAAACACTGCATAACGTTTTTATCACCAACTTCATGGCACATACGCTGAAAGTGGCCCACCCTGGAACACTGACGGCACACCTGGCTCAATCTGAATAGCTTTCGTCAAGGTTAGCTCCTTCTCCATTAATAATCTTTCCCTGACTCTCGTAGAGTTTGTTTTTTCTACGATTTGATCACGGATCATGTCATCATGCAAATTAGCAAACTGGCACGTACTTGCTAAATGTTTAAGAGCCAAAACAAACGCCTTAACTGTCTCACCTGGTTCATGGGATCGACATCTAAACTTGTACCTCTCCGCTACAACGTTTAGTTTGGGTTCAAAATAATCAGCAAGTAATTGCATAGTTTCTTTATATTCGTCTTTATCACCATCTGCTTCTGCCTGTTGTGCACCAGCAACGGACGTGGCCTTACTGTTCAAAAGAGTGTAATAAATCCGTTGGGCTTCAGTACAAAACGACGCTATCAAAATTGCCTTGCCTCGTTCAGCTGACCCTGCCTGCAAATCGGCGGCCAACAAGTAATTTTCAAATATTATTTTCCACGTTTTCCACGGGACGGTGGGCGTGCCTGGAGACTCAAGAAACGGATGTGGTTTACTCACAATATTGTTCATCCTCGTCGCCAACTGTAATAATGTCCACAAAATGAAAGAAACTTTGGACAGATTTTAATGACAATTCTAAGCTCTCTTTATTTCTGTTCTTTCTCCTCGAACCTCGCTTACGCCCTCAATCTTTACATTCGTTCCCGTTACCACAATATTCTTTTGCACACAATATTCATTTGACCTCAAACAACAGTGCCACAGTGTTTAGTTTCATTTTATGCAAAGACTATATTTAATAAAATGGCTGTAACGTCCTAAAAAAATCAAACCCCCTTGGTGCCCGCAGTCTTGTTTAACAGTGAGAGGGATTGAACCTGAAATCATGAGATTAGAAGGTGAGCATCCGACAGAAGATTTAAACCAAGTGCCTGACTATATTGCCTCCCGGAATTAAAAAAAAAAAAACTCTGGTAGAGTTCACGGGGAGAGTATGACCTAAATTATGCTTTTAGACCACAATACTGGGGATTGGCAATCAAAATAACGAATATTTGGATATTAGGCAAATTATTATTTTTGGTCAGACGACGTGGTGACATCCGAGGACGCACACCTTCTGCACTGATCAGTCTTGTGTGGAAATTTTGTTAAGTTAGAAAAAAAAAGCAATTTATTAAATTTTAAATATCTGTTTTACAGAACGGAAATAACTTCACCCCTGAAGAGAATGTTGTGATATCTGTCAGTAAGGCCAGTAAAGACATAACTGCAGGAACAGATATTCAGCTTTCGGATCTAACAGTAACCGTAGGTTTAACAGACTTCATCTGCCCTGCCACCGTTCAGTTATGTGTTGTCCTGGAGAAAAATGATTCCGCCAATCCAGATTTCACATTTGTCCCAAATACTGGTGTCTTCCCATCCTGTGTAGATATTGACTGTGAAGGTAACTATTGTTATTTTGATGTTGCATCTTTATCTTGCGTAATGCTTTTTTGTTGGAGTGCATCATATTTTTGATATGTCAGAAGTTGCTCAGATTTATATAATCTCTATCTTTATTATTTTATTAAAATGGTAACACCAACATTTCAAATATCTAATTTCTGGGGAGGATTTTGTTATTATATTTTATTTTGCTGTTGGAATCTATGGTATTTTACTAAGCTCAATTGATTACTCTTTTAGGTGTTGTTATCACCAGTTCTTCATTGACGGAATCCAGCGGTATAACCTTCAAAGAAGGTGCAAACAATCAGGTTGTAGATCTTGACTTGCGCTTCATGGTGGCAGAGGATTCAGGAGGAATTGATGGGAGTGATCAGTGGGCCATTGAAGTATTTGTAAATAGTGAGTATGATGGCACTGACGTTATGTATTCAAAAGTGTATGGTGTATTTCCACAGAATGTTGCCAATATACCTGCCATTCCTGGTGAGAATTTTAACTTCAGCTCAGTCTCAGCAACCTTGGATTTCTCCAGCCCAATATACCTGCCATGTGGTGACATCTTTTATCTCTGCGCATCCCTTAAGAAGGCCGATACCGCTTCCAAGAACTTTACCGTCTCTGGTCGTCCAACCGATGCATTATTGACTGCTTGTGAACGCAAGGCATGTGAAGGTGTCATTGTAGAAAACACAGAGTTAACATTTATCACAGATACACCATTCGTCAAGGAGGGCAGTACAGAGACTCTGGCACCTGCTAGTGATTCTTCAACTTTAACCACTGCGGTGTCATTGTGGTCTGTAAAAGCATTTGGCAGCTCTAGGAGTGATGGCTCTGGCGACCGTTCTGCTGTAGTTGCAGTAGACACTATAGGGGTTGGAGCAGTAGGAGTTACTCCAGGTCAGTAAAGTTAATGTTTTATTATGCAAAATATATTTTAGGTTTAATATATTAGATAGACAGATATATATATATATATATATAT